AATACCTTCTCAGCTTCGCATCGAAGCTAAAAAATAAACGATTTTGTTGTATAAAATAAAGTTATTAATAATATTATTATTGGAGATACTGAATACCGATAACGTTCTTTGAAAAACGGTTGTCTTTGTAACGGGTTGGTTACATTTTTAACTTTATAATGCTATAACTCATTGAAAAGTGTACGAATCAACACAATTTTTTTATGAGAAATAATATTTTTTAATAATCCCTTTTTCATTCGACATACTTTATCTTAATCAGGGTATTAATAAGAAACTAGCAGATAATGTAGCTTTTGTAATTATCCACCAATTTCTTAGAATTAAACACTATCTACTGATTTGCATCGAAGCGTTTCTTATGATAGTGATTTTAATCACTGTCAGATTAAATCTATACTGGACCCAACTATGCAACATCCCCACTATGCCGCGACNGATTTTAATCACTGTCAGATTAAATCTATACTGGACCCAACTATGCAACATCCCCACTATGCCGCGACCCCACTGTGCTGGGTTTTTTAGAATTATTTTACTTATGTTTCTATTATTATTTTAGCTTGTATGAATTCATACGTAATGATTGTTTAAATTTAATAGTTTTGTGACAGTATTTTTATGGAACCCTTTAACAAGATGTTATTGTAGATTTCTTATGCTACAGATTAGTAATCATACTGAAAAATACGTTTCAAATAATACATAAATTCACACTAAATAAGTTATCTAGCATAGCTGACTGTTCAGTGAAATTTAGCATGAAATGTTTAATAATTGTAATATGGAACAGTGACATCATATCGGATATGACTAAATATCACTGTATCTACCAACGATACTTAAAATCTGTGATGGTCTAGACAGCATCGCTAAAGACAATATTACGAGTGTGTTTAATGAAAAATTCAACTTCTAATAAATTCCTGGTACTTATTTACCATTTGTTGTGCAACAAAAATTGTTCATCTGGAATAGACTGAGTTCACTTTTTAGTGATAACGCGTTTAGATCAATTAAGTTGCCTATACATAACTCGTTAGTCTATTAGCATGTAATTTTTGCTTTATATTTCTTGATAAGTTATGAATGATTTAATTAATTATAGAAATTAATAATTTACTTTTATGACTTAGTTAATTTGTTAATGCTAAAATAATAATATAATTCATAAAATATCAACTGTAACAAATGTATACTATCATCTCAAGTTTTATAAAAAAATTAGTGGATTATACCACCTATTAATATAATAAAATTTAATTGGTTAGTCAATAAATATTTTTTTATTAAAAAAAAAGTTGATACAAATATTTTGTGTACAGGATGGATTTGAAAGTGACACATGTTAATCTTTTTTTTCAACTCCATCTTTAAAATTAATCTGGAATAATTGCCCAATCATTTTAGTTTAGTAAGTAATTAAATTAAATAAGATAAATTGAATTATTTTATGTATATTTACAGTTATTAAAAACATTTTATGAGCTATAGTTTATTTAATAATTACCTTATTATTCTAGAAATTATAGTTTTTGCATTAGTTTCTATATAAACATGGATTCCAATGATAAACGTTGGACTAAGATTGACAAAGATCCCAAATTTAAAAAAATACCAAAATCAGAACGAAAAGTTAAAATAGATAAGAGGTTTCAATCTATATTCAAAGATAAAAAGTTTAAAGTCAAGTATACTATAGATAAAAGAGGACGACCTTTACATAGATCAACTACTGATGATTTTAAAAAATTTTATCATATGTCTGATGAAGAAGATAATGATCAAGGAGTTGAAGATGATAATTATATGAAAAAAAATGATTTTAATGAATCTGAATCATCCTCTGATGAGGTAAAAAATATTACAGATATAGAAGAAGAAGATGAAAAATATAGTTCAAAAATAGATAAAAAAGTAAGGAACCGACTAAAAGATATCACAGTAGATTATGCAAGGGGTGATGGAATTATAATGACAGATAGTTCATCTGATGATGATACTACTTCTGATGAAGAAAATGATAGTAAGTCAAGTTCTTTTTGCATGACTAAAGTATTTTTAACTTTTTTATGAATAATTTTTTGTGTATTACTTATGTGTTGCCATAATTTAACATGAAAAATATTATAATTATAATTTATTTAATTAGATTGAAATTTGTGGATACTAAATATTGTGATGAGAAAATACAATTTCTTGTACTATACTAGTTTACATGAATATATATTGGTTGATGAATTATAATACCTATATAAAAGCAATAATTTTATAATTTTATATTGAAGGTGTAGAAAATGTATATCATAGATGGGGTGAGTTGGATAAAGATGCTGTTACTATAGAAAATGCTACATCAAGATTAGCATTATGCAATATGGATTGGGATAGAATACAAGCTGTTGATATAATGATACTTTTAAACTCATTTGCTCCAACTGACGGCTTTATTAAATCAGTAACTGTAAATCAAGCCATTTTTAAGTGCTAAAATATTTTTGAAAACATAAAAAGATCTGGAATTGTTTTATAGATATATCCATCTGAATTTGGTATGAAAAGAATGGAAGAAGAAGAAGTTAAAGGACCTCCTGAACTTGTATCAGAAAATCCAGTTGATATTGGTTCATCTGATGATAATAGTGATGATGTAACATTATTATTAATCCTAATCACATTTATTTGGTAGCCATTAAATTCCTTTGTTATTTTTTCAGGAAGATCAAGAAGGTAAAAAATACCATATGGAAAAATTGCGTAAATATCAACTAACAAGGCTAAAATATTATTATGCTATCATTGATTGTGACTCAGTAGAAACAGCAAACAAAATATATACTGAATGTGATGGTATTGAATATGAAAGTAGTGCTACTCGTTTAGATTTGCGGTTTGTACCAGAAGACACTGAATTTGATCAAGTAAATAAATGATTGAATATAGTCATATAGATTATGGTAGACGTTTAAACTCTAAATGAAATATATATATGAATATAATACATTTATATTTTCAATAAACTGGAATGACAAATTTCATTTTAAGCATTATCCCTCTTTCAAAAATATCTTTATACACTCATAATAAAATGTTGTATAGCTTATTAGCCAATCTATCCTTTTTATATTTAAAAACTTTTATTGCAAAATATATTTTATAGTGTAGAGAATTATAGATTAAAGTATGGAAATTGTATCTAAAAAAATTAAAATTTTTTAGTTAAAAAATTTGTAAATTAATAAAATTTATTACTCCTTAAAGTAATTTTAGTGGTTAATTTTTTTTTTATCTTTACGAATAAAAAAAATGAGGATTTTTGTATAATTCTTTAGTAATTTATCAAGAGTTAAGATTTCATTTTTAATTTAATTAATAATATAAATATCAAAAGATTATTTTAGACCAATTGGTTATAAAACTACTTTTAGTAACTTATCTCTTGAAAAAAATAATATTTATAAAAATTATTAAGACTAATTATTTTTAATTTATTAACCTGTTAATATCAATATACTGAATTAATTAAAAATATCAGTTTTATTATAGTATTTACATAATTTTTAATTTTTCAGGAACCTAAAGAAGTATGTGATAAATTACCTGATTTGGCGAAGTATAAACCTCATCTATTTACGACAACAGCATTACAACAAGCAAAAGTTAACCTAACATGGGATGAAACTGATCCTAGACGTAAAGAATTAGTTAGTAAACTTAAAACAAACCCAAAAACTGAAATAGATGATAGCGCTCTACAAAAATATGTAGCATTCAGCTCCGAAGATGAAAAAAGTGATAGTCAAAATGATGAAACTAGTGAAAACAATGATAATGATGAGCCAAAAAAAAATCCTATTGATAAATATAAAGAATTGTTACAAAATATTCAGAAAGAAGAAGACAAGAAAAATAATAAAGACATGGAATTAGAAATATCTTGGGGTATAGGAACTCAAGAAAAGGTGCAGAAAACAGTTGAAGAGAAATCTAAAAAGAATTTAACACCATTCCAAAAAATGATGGAAAAGAAAAAAGAAAAAATGAGAGAGAAACAAAAGTTAAAAAAAGAAAAAAGGACTGAAAATGATGGAGAGTCGGGAGATGAAATTAATTCCAAAAATACTAACAAACAAGCTGAATTAGAATTATTATTAATGGATGAAGAATCCTCTAATAAACATCATTTCAATATGAAGATTATACAAGACAAATCAAGAAAATTAAAAAATAAAAATAAAACTATTGAAACAACCGATGATTTTGATGTAATCTATTTTATTAATATATCAATTAACATTTTATATAAGAGTATATAATTAGAATTTGTTTTTTTTCTAGGTTGATGTAAAAGATGATAGATTTTCAGCTTTATACACATCTCATCTATTTAATATTGATCCAGCAGATCCAAAATTCAAAAGATCCAAAGGAATGGAAGCTTTTATAACTGAGAAAGCTAATAGACGTCAATTAATAGACAATCAAAAAGTATTGTATTAATTTTATGGCATTATCATAAAAACTAATTTTTTTTCATGTCTAGGTTAATGAGCTACCTGAAAAAAAATCAAAAATTAGCATTAACAACCCTGAACTAGCTAATCTTCTTAAATCAGTGAAATATAAAACAAAAAATAGGAAATAAAGAGAATATTTATTAAAGGGTTATTTTTTTTTAGACACAATATATTATTTTCATGTGTGGTATATGAAAAATTTATCATTTGTAGTGTTTGATTTTTGAACCGATTTCTTTCAATGATATGTCAAAAGATTACAAATTGTATCTATTCGAAGATATTACCCTCAAAAATTGAAAAAATTTCCCTCGTTCTCCGTAAATGGGAGAAATCTCCAAAAAAATTTACAAATTTAAAAATCGCTAATTTTCGACATTTTTACTATTTTTTTTACATAAAACTTTTTGAAAATGTATTTTCCATTTACCATTATACAGAACAAGTGTTCAAAACTTAAAAATGCATATAGAAAGTAGAACTTTTTCAACTTAATTTTTGAAAATGTTCCGAAAATACTGATACTTCTATATATATCTTAAATTAAAGTTAATGTAATATACTTTATTATGGAAAAAAAAAATTTCGGACTTTATTTTGTCTTCACGGTGAAAATAGTTACCAAATTCTATTTTTTTGTGAAAATTCTCGATTTTATATTTTACATTTTTAACTTTATAATAGTATAACTTATTGAAGAGTGTATGGATCAATACAATTTTTTTATGAAAAATAATATTTATATCCCTCTTTCATTCGGCATACTATTTTTTAAAATAACACCATTTCCCTTTATATATTTATATATTATAAATAATAATATTGTTGGTGAGCGGGATTATTAACCGTTAAAAAAATCGAACGCTCAATTAACCTTAATTTTTTTTTGATATAATTTTTTTTTTTTTTAATTTGTTTGATTAATGTAATGAATATTAAATTTAACATAAATAAATAAAATGTACAAAATATTTGTTCCTTAATTTTATTTATAATTAAAACTTACATGAAAATATTTAAATACAAATGTAACCTTGATTAATATTGGAGCGCGTCGCTGATGGTTCAGCGGTGGAACGTACACTGATTAGACTTAATACTAAAAGACACATTGCTGACCAGCCAAACAAAGATAAAAGACCATACTATAGTGTGACTCGCGCTAANGATAAAAGACCATACTATAATGTGACTCGCGCTAACAAATATATTTATTCATATATTATACTTATAAATCATAAAACTTGTAACTTGTACATCAGGATATAAATAAGGAAATAGGAGATCATGTAGCTTTTGGAATAATCCACCAATTTTTATCTTCGATGCGAAGCTGAGAAGGTATTGGTTTTACTAAGATGTGTTTTTTTTTTTTTTTTTTCTATTGCCACTTTTTCTCAGCTCTCACCGAACAGATTTCTTTCAATGATACGTCAAAAGATCACAAATCGTATCTAGTCGAAGACATTACCCTCAAAAATTGAAAAAACTTCCCTCGTTCCCCATAAATGGGGGAAACCTTCAAAAAAATTACAAATTTAAAAATTGCTAATTTTCGAAATTTTTTCAATTTTTTTTACTTAAAATTGCTATAACTTTTTTAAAAATAATCGAATCAATATAATTCTTTTTTTATAGATGCATGATATCATTACCTTTTATTTGGTATATTTTTTTTTTATATGTGACCCTTTACTAACCCACAGGGGGGATTTAAAATGACAACTTTTTCAAAACAAATTATTTTTTTCAACTTGATTTTTGAAAATGTTTCGGAAAGTCTGACACTTTTATATATATCTTAAATTAAAGCTAATGTAATATACTTTATTATGAAAAAAAAAATTTCGGACTTTATTTTATCTTCACAGTGAAAATGACTACTGAATGCTATTTTTGTGTGAAAATTTTCGATTTTTTATTTTACATTTTTAATTTTGTTATGCTATAACTATTTGAAAAATGTATGGATCAATACAATTTTTTCATGAGAAGTAGTATTTATATACATCTTTCATTGGACATACTGTTTTTTTTAAATCAGACCATTTCCCTATAATTGATGGGGGTTCAAATCTAAAAAACCCAGCACAGGGGGGTCGCGGCACAGTTATTACGTGGCATAGTTGGATCAAGTATAATGATATCTGACAGTGATTAAAATCACTATAAAAAAAAACGCTTCGATGCAAATTCTTTAGATAGTGTTTAATTTTAAAAAATTGAAGGGTCGGCGGGAATAACATGCTATGTAACACTTTTTCCCATTTCATTTTTTTACGGAATAACTTGCTATGAGTATCTCAATAAATTTATAGAATTAGTTATTTGATTATGTTTAAAGTTGGAAGAACGTGCTACGTGCAGTCCAAATAATATTTAAACGAAATAACATAAGTAATTTTGTTTTTACTTGATACTGAACAATTTACAAATTGTTACATAGCACGTTATTCCCGCCGACCCTTCAATTGGTGGATTATTCCAAAAGCTACATAAACTGCTAGTTCCTTATTAATATGCTTATTAAGATAAAATATGTTGAATGAAAAAGGGATTATTAAAAAATAGTATTTCCCATAAAAAAATTATATTGATCAATACACTTTTCTATGAGTTATAGCATTATAAAGTTAAAAATGTAAAAAATAAAATTGAGAATTTTCACACAATAATAGCATTTGGTAGCCATTTTCACCTTGAAGACAAAATAAAGTCCGAAATTTTTTTTTTCCATGATAAAGTATATTACATTAGCTTTAATTTAAGATATATATAAAAGTGTCAGACTTTCCGGAACACTTTCAAAATTTAAGTTGAAAAAGTCGATTTTTTGTGAAAAAGTTGTCATTTTCAATCCCCCTCTGCAAGCAGGTAAAAAGTCAGATTTATAAAAAAGTATACACCAAAGGATAGGTAAAGACATCATGCATCTACAAAAAAAAAGAATTATATTGATCCATACATCTTTCAAAAAGTTATAGCATTATAAAGTTAAAAATATAAAAAAGAATTTTTTTACAAAAATCGTATTTTTTTTATTAAGTTTAATGTCTGTTTTCACCATGAAGATAAAATAAAGTCCGAAATTTTTTTTTACCATTATAAAGTATATTACATTAGCTTTAATTTAAAATATATATAAAAGTGTCCGACCTTGCGGAACACTTTCAAAAGTTAAATTGAAAAAGACAATTTTTTGTGAAAAAGTTGTCATTTTAAATCCCCCTCGTGGGCAGGTAAAAAGTCAGATTTATAAAAAAAATATACCAAATGATAGGTAATGACATAATTCATCTATAAAAAAAGAATTATATTGATATGTTTATTTTTAAAAAAGTTACGGCAGTTTTTAGTAAAAAAAATTGAAAAAATTTCGAAAATTAGCGATTTTTAAATTTGTAATTTTTTTGGAGGTTTCCCCCATTTANATACTTTATAATGGTAAAAAAAAATTTCGGACTTTATTTTATCTTCATGGTGAAAACAGACATTAAACTTAATAAAAAAAATACGATTTTTGTAAAAAAATTCTTTTTTATATTTTTAACTTTATAATGCTATAACTTCTCGAAAGATGTATGGATCAATATAATTCTTTTTTTTGTAGATGCATGATGTCTTTACCTATCATTTGGTATATTTTTTTTATAAATCTGACTTTTTACCTGCCTACAGGGGGGGATTCAAAATGACAACTTTTTCACAAAAAATGAACTTTTTCAACTTAACTTTTGAAAGTGTTCCGGAAAGTCTGACACTTTTATATATATATCTTAAATTAAAGTTAATGTAATATACTTTATTATGCTAAAAAAAAATTTCGGACTTTATTTTATCTTCATGGTGAAAACAAACATCAAACTTAATAAAAAAAATACGATTTTTGTAAAAAAATTCTTTTTTATATTTTTAACTTTATAATGCTATAACTTCTCGAAAGATGTATGGATCTATATAATTCTTTTTTTTATAGATGCATGATGTCTTTACCTATCATTTGGTATATATTTTTTTTTATATCTGACCCTTTACCTGCCCACAGGGGGGGGTTTAAAATGACAACTTTTTCACAAAAAATTTACTTTTTCAACTTAAATTTTGAAAATGTTTCGGAAAGTCTGACACTTTTATATATATCTTAAATTAAAGCTAATGTAATATACTTTATTATGAAAAAAAAAAATTTCGGACTTTATCTTATCTTCATGGTGAAAATGGCTACCGAATGCTATTTTTGTGTGAAAATTTTCGATTTTGTATTTTCCATTTTTAACTTTATTATGCTATAACTTTTTGAAAAATGTATGAATCATTACAATTTTTTTATGAGAAGTAGTATTTATATAGATCTTTCATTCGACATACTGTTTTTTTAAATCGGACCATTTCCCTAAATACAGGGGGGATTCAAAACATAAAAATGCATATAGAAAGTAGAACTTTTTCAACGTAACTTTTGAAAGTGTTCCGGAAGGTCTGACACTTTTATATATATCTTAAATTAAAGCTAATGTAATATACTTTATAATGGTAAAAAAAAATTTCGGACTTTATTTTATCTTCATGGTGAAAACAGACATTAAACTTAATAAAAAAAATACGATTTTTGTAAAAAAATTCTTTTTTATATTTTTAACTTTATAATGCTATAACTTCTCGAAAGATGTATGGATCAATATAATTCTTTTTTTTGTAGATGCATGATGTCTTTACCTATCATTTGGTATATTTTTTTTATAAATCTGACTTTTTACCTGCCTACAGGGGGGGATTCAAAATGACAACTTTTTCACAAAAAATTGACTTTTTCAACTTAAATTTTGAAAGTGTTCCGGAAAGTCTGACACTTTTATATATATCTTAAATTAAAGCTAATGTAATATACTTTATCATGGAAAAAAAAAATTTCGGACTTTATTTTATCTTCAAGGTGAAAATGGCTACCAAATGCTATTATTGTGTGAAAATTCTCAATTTTATTTTTTACATTTTTAACATTATAATGCTATAACTTATTGAAAAGTGTATTGATCAATATAATTTTTTTATGGGAAATACTATTTTTTAATAATCCCTTTTTCATTCAACATACTTTATCTTAATAAGGATATTAATAAGGAACTAGTAGATCATGTAGCTTTTGAAATAATCCACCAATTTTTTAAAATTAAACACTATCTAAAAATTTGCATCGAAGCGTTTCTTATGATAGTGATTTTAATCATTGTCAGATATCATCTAT